GGACATGATATTTATTCGTCCATTGCTCAGAACACTGACCTTTCTTTTCTTTTCTTTTAAAAAACCCTTTCCACTCCCTATCTAGCTTTTTAGTCTATACATCATCTAAGGAAGGGCAACTCTGACTATTTCCAATTCATGTCACTTTTCCTTCTGTTGCATGCCAGCCTCAGTTCTGACCCATTTCCACATGAACGTGCACATTTTAAAATAAATTTTCACCACAAAAAAAATCTTGTTTTTGGTTTTTTTACAAAATACACATTTGTGAACAAATTTTATCCCCAAATACACATTTTGGTACATTTTTAAGCTGAGAAGTGCCAAATCCAAGGATCAACTGCATTTCAACCCCTGTGCATTAGTCTGTGAGATGTGGATCTATATTCTGGGATGAAGAAATTTTGCTAAATAAATAAAATTAAGATGCTGTCATGTGCCTCCGAGTTGCCGCATGTTCAGCAAAGCAACTGTATCCAAGCTCATGTATTTGCTCTCTGTCTTTCTGAGAACCACAAAACTGAAAGTCAAAACACAGAGACACTTGTTGAGGAGATGCTGCTGGAAATGGGAACGTTTCATGTGGGGTTGCTCTTTCCATGACCAGATAAGGTTACTTTCAAAATATCTAGGCTGAGGAGAAACACAGTGGTGGCAGTGTCTCCCTGGATGTTTCATCATCTGAAGCATCCAGTATGGCAGAGAAACCATGGAATTTCTGCTTCATCATCTGCAAATGCCTGCCCTTGATCTCCAGGTAGCAAAGATTTTGTTTGCTTTACGCCTCACAAAATTGGTCTGGGCTATCAGTTTTCCCACTAAACACGGAGGTACAGTCTGGCCCAATTTGTTGACAGCTGAAAGTGCTTGCTACTTAACTTAGACAATGAGGCGTGAGCCAGTTCCAAAGATGTTAAGTACATCTGTGCTCAGAAATCAGGCACGATTAGGCCAGCATTTTAGAATGAATAGGAAGATAGCATAAGTTGATCTTCTTTAGGGGTAACTAATGTGATGCCCTTCAGATGATGGCCGCAGCTCCAGCCAGTGTGGTAAATGGTCCAGGATGATGGAAGTTGTAGTTCAACAACATCTGGAAAGCAACACATTGACTACTACCTATATTGGGGTAGGCAACCTAAGGCCCGGGGGCCGGATGCAGCCCAATCACCTTCTCAATTCGGCCCGCGGGTGGTCTGGGAATCAATCCCAAACAGGCAGTGAAACTACTGCCTTGTAGGCACTCAAACCCATTTGGTGGATTGCATTCAGCTTGCAAGGGGTAGGGTATTGAGGCAGATGAGAAATTCCATTTGGTTCTCATTTTAATGCTAACTTACCTAATTTAACAACCTGAAAGCTAATGCTATTCTAGGCTGCATCAACAGTAGTGTCCAGATCAAGGGAAGTAATAGTTCCACTTCCACTTCTGCCTTGGTCACACCATACCTGGAGTAATGTGTCCAGTTCTGAGCACCACAATTTAATAAGGATATTGACAAGCTGGAATGTGTGCAGAGGAGGGTGGCCAAAATGATGAAGGGCCTGGAAACCGAGCCTTATGAGGAACTGTTGAAGGAGTTGGGTATGTTAAAAAGCTGGGTATGGAAAAGAGAAGACTGAGGGGAGATGTGATAGCCATCTCCAAATATCTCAGGGGCTATCACATGGAAGAGGAAACAAGCTTGTTTTCTCCTGCTCCAGAGGCTAGGACCTGAACCAATGGATTCAAGTTATAAGAAAGAAGATTCCAATTAAACACCAGGTAGCACTTTTTGACAGTAAGAGCTGTTTGACTGTGGAACAGACTCCCTCGGGAGGTTGTGGGCTCTCCTTCCTTGGAGGTTACTGAGCAGAGGTTGGATGGCCATCTGTCATGGATGCTTTAGTTGAGATTCCTGCATTGCAGAGGTTAAACAAGATGACCCCCAGGATCCCTAAACAGTCCCTACAGTTCTAACACAACCATCCATTAGTATTCACACGTCTCCAAATATTGCAATGCAGTTTTCCATTCATATTTTTTTTTACAAAAAGGCATATATTATGGGAAAGTGTGCATAAAATTGCACACTTGTGAAAATGTGTGTATTAGAAGAAATGCACACTAAAAAGCTGATGCATTTGCATGAGTGAAATCTGGGAGATTCCTTTCCATTCATGAAACCTGCAACACCAGAATTTTATTGTTGTTAAACTAGCCCAAAGGTAATCTAGGCTAAATATGTTTGAATCCTTCTCACCCCAATTTTGGCAAAACATTTTAGTTATCAGGGTATAAAGGAAACACATTTTCACAGAAACATTTGGGACACCAAATGCAGGGCCACTACCTCCCACCTCCCGACACATGATTTTAGTGTCTGTTAACATTTCAATGCAGCTTCTCATTAAATATAAACAGACTTCAGAGCTATCAAATCCAGGTGACATTGGCATTCAGCATTTTATTTTTTATTTTTTTGCAAAGCAAGATTTTTTGTCAGATTTTAGGGAAAGAAGCAGATGGCTGGAAATATAAATCTGAGTAGGTGTTTAAAAATCCTTATGAGAGTAAGTACTATGTTAATAAGACATGTCGCTTGCTATATTGCCTTGCTATATTGTGAATGCCAGTACGTTTCTTTAAAATCAAAGGAAATAGTTTTTTTAAAAAAATATTAAAAAATATTATATTGCTTTCCATCTGTGCTGAAACTGTTTTAAGAACAACCCCATGTATAGTGAAATATGCATTTTGTGTCAAAATATTATCATTAATGATTACCTAATTAATGTCAATAATAGAACAGAACATTTTCACAATCAATTGGATTATGGTCCTTCTTCTTAGGAAGGGAGGATCAACCTAGGTAAGCCAGACAGACAAGGGTTTAATTCGAATAAGCTATCTTTGCTCAGCTATAGAAACACTGAGTAAACACAAGGCCAAACCATTCACAGTTGTGCATGTCAAACTACATGTTAAATGGAGATAAGAGTTCGCAATCCCAAAACCACATTTTGAAACAATGTTAGCATTCATTCACAGTGATATGAGACTCTGGCACCTTGTTCAGCAGTAACTTTCTCAGCAGAAGGAACCTTCAATCAGACTTCTGGATCCAATGTATAGGACTAACTCACATAAGGCCTGTTGACCCACACATTCACTGAGGGTTCAGTGGTAAGATAAGGGACTCTATCTCTGATGTGTCAGATGGGGGGGATGCGTAACTAGACCTCTTGAACTTCACATTCACCCCACACAAACTTGAGAATAGTGATGAGATAGGACTCTATCCCTGACATATGGGATTTGGGGAGGGGGACACTGTCAGAGTCTAAGTACCAAGTGTATGCGACCAACTTGAATAAAATATTGTGGGGGCCCAGGTTAGCCCCACCCTGCATAATCGATCACATGACGCAGTGCATGCACACCATTTGAATGGCCCATCAACTTTGTGGGGGCCCAGCCTCCCCAAATCTTTTATTGTGGGGGCCAAAGTGCACACGGCCAATAGGAGTTGGCTCCTATGCATGTGACATCATATCAGATTTTTACATTTTGGTTACAGGCAGGGTGTGGTTTTAACTGGGAGTTCAGTGCAGGGGAAAGGAATGGCTAACCATTTACTCCCACTACAATGGTAATCATAAGAGAGCGCGCACACACATAACACAGAGTTTGGCTTATAAAAAGGAGCAGATGAAGGAAAGGTGGACTGCTATACCCACTTCAGGTACAAGAGAGCCCTATTTTGGCTACCCTTGTGGAAATGCAGGAAACAGGGATACATATGACATTTATCATACTATTTGCCATGGACTTCAAGCATTTTCTTTCACAAACTGTCAATGCACGTCTTGACTGGGCACCCCATATCTACACTATGCAATGGGGAGAAAACTCCCATTCACTTCAATGGGAGCTTCCCCACCCCACCACCCCTCTGCTTGCTAAGTGCAGGCATGAGGAGCCAATAACCCCATACTAGGAACCTATTCCAGATGTTGGCATTTTTGCAAGAAAAAGAACGAACTCCCAGGTGAACAACATAACTGACATCATACATTTCTATGAAACACAGCTGTATGGAGGATCAGCTCCAGTGTGATCTTGTTGGCAGGCACTGCTCCCAGCCATGATTTCTGTGACTTTGGTTCCCTTTGCTTTTTCTCTGGTATTGCTCATGAGAATCGCCTATCAAAGTAGTCATGCTTGGCCAGACACTACTTTGGCCACCCAGCTGTACCCATATGGACTTCCTCCGTGAAGGGTATGAAATATACTATCTGAACTGGGTGATAATCTTTCTTTGATTTGGAAAGTGAGTGAACATGCGTCTGGCTTTTGTTTGGACTCTTAAAAGAACTTCAAATTCATCTTACTATTACAGTGGGATGTACGGTGCCCATTTCCCAGTATTTTTTCAGATCCAGAAATAAATTCCTCACCCTTTTTTATTTCTGCATATTCCTCACAGAAATTAAAGGAAGCTTCTGTTGGTAAAACCATAGAAACATGAGCCTATAAGTTAAATCAGATGGCATGACTGAGTAAAATGCTGTTCTAAGGGTCTGACTGAATATATATATATATATAATGTTGCAGATGTTTTTTATTTCCATCCACCATACATTAAAAGGCTTATCCTGTGCTGCTGAAAAGTAAGCGGTTTCTATTGATGTGGTTTCTTTCAACTGCATAAAAAGAAATAAAAAGTATCCATCAATGTTTATCTGATAACTCTTAATCTGTGGATTGCTGCAGGCTGTAGGAATGTGTCCTTTGCATTCCAGACCTAGTTGGATCTTGGCTTTACAACACTAGTGGGTTTCCCTCGCCCTTTCAGTCATTTATAAGATTAATGGAGCAAAATACCTGGAACGGTTTGAAGATGCAGAGCCCAGAATTTCACGTCAGTTTCCAAACCACCCAGCCTGGCATCACAAGCATAAAGGAACGCCACAAAATTTCAACTCACATGAACCAATTACAGGCCAACTACCTCAAGTACTTCACAACTCCCCATTTCTCCATGTGTCGTTTGACCATCCTGGGCATAGCTTAGCAGAGGGCTCTTTGCTTTCATGTTCACAATGCTGCATTGCAAGTTGAAACCTATGGAAAAAAATTGAGGAGAATTGTGGGGGGAGGTGGGGACCAGGAGCACTTCCAGACAATCTGTGTATTAAGCATTCATCTTGTTTTGTTAGTTATCTTGTGCTTTTTTCTGACCTGTAAATAAGCCACCAGAGGTTTTTTTGTACAGTTATTTGCTTCTATCCAGGAGCAGCAAGAGTGGAGAACACTCCAGTATGCACAGGCATATTACATCACATATTCAAGAGTTGAATAGACGACAAGTTCTGGGGTTCAAGTTAAGCTCTTGCCCTCTTATTGTTGGTTGCCTAGCGAAGTTGAGAGTGAGGGTGGGGTAGTTCAGCAAATGCATACATCTCCTACATGAGGCATGGCAGCAAGATGCAGGCTCTAGCAGTTGACTATAAATAGCCCGTTTGAAGTGGTAGATGAGAGGAGTGAAGAAGTTGATGCAGCTGGAGCAAGGCGCTATGGCAATTATTCCAGTGGCAAAGTTTCAAGCAGGCATGGGGGGGGGCAGGGAAGAAGTAGCTGACATAAAAGGCAGAAAGGATGGAATTGCAAGGAGAAAATTAAAGCTCAACAAGGAAGCCTCAATAGGTCAGGAAGGAAAGGGCATATTTGAGTAAGAGCATTGTCCCGATTTACTAAGTAATAGCATCTTTCTTGGTCCATAAATATTTGCCTCAGTAAGTTTCCAAAGGCTTATTAGATGATAAGAGAAGAAGCACATTGCCTTACTTGCATTTACTGTGGAGCTACTTCCAGAATATGCCCAAGCTGATTGCACCCTATGTCTATTGATTTTTACAGGGACTAGGACATGAAGCAATAGACAACCTCACTTAGGTGCTGTTTTGGAAGGCCCCAGGAAGGGAAGGCATAATTTGGGGTCCCTGTGTCTATTCAAGAAATACGATTTACAGATGTAGGGACACCAAGTCATGTGGGTCTCCTTCCCTGCAGCCTTCTAAAGCAGTATCTAAGTGACATTATCATGAAAAAGATAGAATTTCCCTATCCCACCTCCTATCATTCAAGCACTACCTTTTTTGTGAATATTCAATTCCACAATAGGTGTGATGGGCACCAGTTTTTATGGCTTTTGTTTGTATGGATTAGACCAGGGCTAGTCAATCTTTTTATACCTACTGCCCACTAATGCATCTTTCTTGATGGTAAAATTTCCTTACCACCCACCAGTGCTGCAGTAACATGCGCAGTAGAATCCCCTACTGCCCACCTGGAATCCTGAAACGCCCACTAGTGGGTGGTAGGGACCAGGTTGACTACCCCTGGATATAAGACTCCCCTTAGCTACTAGTTATGATCAGTGCTTGGACTTAAATAACTCAGAATATTTTTTTTAAAAAAAACCCTCTGAATTATACCTGAAAGTAGTTCCTATAATTTCCAAGTGAACTGAACATGAATTAAGTTCCTTTTGTGGTGGAATTCTGGGCAATTTTAAATTCAATTCAACTCAATTTTAATTTTAAAATAACTCAGTCATTGAGTTTTGATTGTAGTGATTGCATTTTATATTTTTAACGTATCTGAGAAGTGATTCGGCTGTTTAAGGTTCACTGGGGAAAACAAATAAAACCAATGTTCACATCACACTGTGTGTTCTGGTGTTTTCTTGGTCTTCTTAAGTATATTTTTTTACTTTTTGCAAAGCTTGTAAAATTCTGAAATCAGGATGGAAGGAATGCCGAGGTCCACGTGAATCAATTGAGAATTCAGATGTTAATTGAACTGGAAAGGAATTCCAGTTAACCAAGGGGTCATACTTCAGCTTGAACTGGTTCCTTTTTGAAAGGGGCAAATTAGAACTGGAACTAATTTATTTTTAAGATTCTTTTCAAGCATTGATCATGATTGCTATATTACCTCCAGTATCAGAGGCATTTTGCCTCTGACTATGAGTTGCTGGGGATCATGAATAGAAGAGTGACATTGTGCTCATGTCATCCTTTGCGGCCTCCCCATAAGGATCTGAATTGTCACTGTGGGAACAGAATACTAGACTAGGTAGACCTTTGGTTTGGTTCATCAGGGTTCTGTATTATGTTCTTATGATGCTATTGGCAGACCTTGTGGGGAGAATCCCAGAACATTCCCTGGTTGCTTCCTCTGTGTGCCTGCCTAACAAACTCCTGATGAATTCAACAGGACAGAGGACATTATGATCCTATTGTCAGCCCTTATGGGGACATTCCCAGGTTTCTCCCACTGTGCGCCTGCTTTTCAAACTCCTGATGATTTCAACAGGACACAGGATATTGCAAAACCTCCTTTTACTCAGTGCCTAAAACATATGCATGTCGCTTGTACTCGTGGATGAAATTCCTTACTGGATGGAGGAAACTTCTTCAGAGTAAAGATGTAATGCAGAAGGAGCACCATCACTGAGACCAACTCCATATTGAATATAACTTCCCTTCTCTTGTCTTGCAGGCCAAATGGCAATATTTGCAAAATCAGAACTAGAATGAAGTGATGACAGATCAGCATTGGGCTAAGCTTATTTATTATGTCAAAAGTCGGGCTTTTTTCAGCCGGAACTCACCAGAACTCAGTTCTGGCACCTTTCAGATAGGTGGCATTGCCATTATAAGAAAACAAGGGAGGTGTTCATGGTGAGTTCAGGCACCTCTTTTTCTCAAAAAATAGCACTGGTCAAAAGGAAAGGCTAACCAGAGAGAGCAAGACTAGAGGACAGTCTGAAACCTACCATATTCCCAAGTAATGGATTTTGATATATCAGCAGTAAGGAAGGGAGAGAGGGAAAGAGATTCAGTGGTCTGGTTGATTTTCCCTTGTTAGTATTCTTGCTTAAAGAGAGGTGAAACAACTTCCTGGGGGCCCATGTCCCTCTGGAACATGATCAGCCATCTTGCCTGCCAGTTCTCTCTGTCCCCTACACCGCACTCCACATTTTTCCTTTCACAGAGCTGGGTACAGGGAGGTTCAATAGCAGCTAAGTGGACTTGCAAAAGATGTGCACTGTTCCAGCTCTCTACAGCGGACAGGCAGAAATTAGATCTGGATCCGCTGGTCAACCTCTGGATAATTATCAACAGTCAGTAACAGTTGCTGATTCCCAATTAACAGCAACAAAATGACACCCCTCCCCAACCTACCTTAAATTATACTGATGAAATAAAAAAGGAAGGTGCTTAATATAACCAGGAGAGGGTTGATGTGTGAAGGAACTTTGAGTTGCTGGGAACTGCAGGCTTCCCATAGGCATCTGGTTGGCCACTGTGAGAGCAGGTTGCTGGACCAGATGGACCACTGGCCTCATCCAGCAGGGCTCTCATGCTCTTATGTCCCCCTTTACTTACCCTCTTTCCAAATTAAAAAGCCTCAACTGTTTGGTTGCCTTTGGCTTTAACTTTGGCTCCTGTTTTCTCTGCTCCTCCCTCCCCCTCTCCTATTTCAGTAGGTTTGTGAAAGTGTGGGGAAAGGAAGAGGGGACCATTTACTTCTGTGACCACTGGGAATGGGCTTTTCCAGGGGGCAGAGGGATTTGGAGTCAAGAAGATGGGCAGTGGCTACAGGATTTATGAACTATGTTCCAACATTCTTCTCCATCCCTAAGAAAAAATGCTATTACAGGAATAGTGTGTGTGTGTGTGTGTGAGAGAGAGAGAGAGAGAGAGAGACATTGCGTAGTTTATAAATATATATTTTTGTGAAGATAGGTTTGTTTTTGACACAAGGATGAAAAATTGCAAAATCGCCACTGAGGTCAGCTATTTACAAGTTTCTATTTTAGTAGCTAGATCAAGAGGCACTTCGGTTGCTCTCTCCATAGTTTTTCATTCTAAAGATAACTTCAGTTAGAGGAGAGAAGGCTCATTTAAATACATTTCCTGGGGAAAATGAATAACCTTCTGCACAGAATTGCCTTTTGGGTACAAATTGCTTTCTTTTCTTCCAAGGTGACTTCTTTAGAAAGTTTAATTAAATTCCCATTTGGCTATTGACAATTCTTCTGTCTCACCATACCCATAATTGAATGATGGATGATTACGCAGTTTCCTGGGTTGTAATTGGCAGATATTCCCATTTGCTTTCTTTCATTCTTCCTCAAAACTGTGGTATGGCTTATTGATTACCAGTTAGTGCTTATTACATCATACTTACCATCATACTCTATTTCCAATGGGGCAGAATCATCAAAGGCTTCAGCAAATGTAAATTTGGAACTCAGAGACAGGAACTCATGCACTAGAGTCAACCACTTGAAAACTCACATATTAATGTAGTGGGTTTTGCCTGATGAGTTCCTAATTTAATTGTGGACCCAGAGGAAAACAAGATGTAGATAGACTAACTATTTAAGAATATGTGGACTGGGAAGAACCCATAAGTGAGCCATTCCCATTTCAGAGTTCAGCTAGAGAAAATAATTATTGGACTGGAAATATAACCTTCAAAGCGGTCAATATTTCAAAAGGGGGGGACATAACCATATATTTTATGGTTGTAAGTTGTCTTAAATTGTTTTGGGTTTTTTGTATCTGTCTATCTCGAGAGACAATGGAGTATACCTCCAGGGGTGAAGTCTAGTATTGTTTCTAATGCCCCACCCTGGGACTTTAGGATGAGCTGGGGTAATATATTCTTATTCTTATTCATTATTATTACTATTACTATTATTACACACGGGATATTGGAATCTTCAGGACAGACAAAAGAACCTACTTATTCACATAGCACATAGGTAAACGATGGAATTTGCTCCCACAAGACCACCAACTTAGATGGCATTAAAGGAGGATTAGGTAAACCTATGAACAGTAAGGCTATCATTGTCCACTAGCTTTAATAGCTGTATTCTACCTCCGTTGTCAGAAGATGTATGCCTCTGAATGCCAGTGTCTGGGAATCGCAGGGGGGGGGCATCCTGCTCTTGAGCTTCCCAAAGGTGTCTGGTTGGCCACTGTAAGACAGGATGCTGCAATAGATGGGCTACTGGCCTGATCCAGTAGTCTCTTCCTATGTTC